GTTAATACCAGCAATGCCAGCAATGACAATAATGATATTAACACTTGTGTTAATGACAACATCAACCTCAACACTTGTGTTAATGCCAGAAATGCTGATAACACTCATGTTTAATTAAATTAATGACAATAACAATAGAACCAATTATATTGTATAATATATAATATATAATTTATATAAATATATCATATATCTTAGCTTAGAAAAATAAGTTAGTTAGTTAAGTTAATAACTTAAGAAGTCTCTTATTTGATAATAATTTGTAAAGTTATATTTGTATTAGTTTTGATCTTGAAAGATAAATCACTTATAATAAACTATTGTTATTGACTTGAAAGACAGTCACTTGATAAAATTTTGTTTGAATCATAACTTTTGAAGTTCTAAATAATATATAAAACTTAGTAAAATTATTGAACATTATTCTAGCTCATCACAATAAGAATACACGTTACCTATCTTTAATAATAAATCTTAGTCTCTCCCACTATAAGAACTTAATCTTTTTCACTCTCATCTTAATAAAACACGTAATTAATACATTAAGAACTTAACATCTATAAAAATGGTAATACTATAGAGGAATATGACTATAAATAGATATAATTATAGAAGAATTTGACTATATATTATATTTATATAAATTATTTATCACTTAATTATCAAAATTTGAAACTATTGTTACTATTTTCAGAGTTATTGTCTATAATGATATTTTTGAAATATGATAAATAACTATATTCACATAAAAGATCAAACTATTAAACTATTAAAACTTATAATTTAAATATTAAATAATAAAATAATAGAATTAGATATAATTTTAACAAGAAACTTAATAAAATTAAAATAAATGATCATTAAAATTTTTTCAAAGTACTCATAATAATATTATATATGAATATTAATATAATAATTATTAAAACTTTTTCAAAGTATCAGTTAATGATAGCTATAAATACAAATATTGTTATCATTTCTAGTTTTTATGTATGAGAATATTTAAAAATAGTTAATAATAACTGTGTTTATGACAGATTTTAAATAAGAATAATATAATTAATAATAGTAAATAGTTAATAATAAGAAATTAATGAGAATATAAATATAAATTGAATATTAAATATATTTAAATAATAATAAAAATGATACTGAAACTAAATATATACTATAAATTAAAATTAGAAGTATATTATAAAAAACAAAGATAAAACAAAAAGAAAAACAATATAAAAATAATAAAAAACAATAAAAACAAAAAAATAAAACAAAAATAAAAACAAGCGAACAAAAGAAACAAATAAAAAGGAACAAGACAAGATAAAAGTTAAAACTAGGATATAATCTTTTTAGTTTATTTTAAGTCAATCTCATATTATATATATAGTGAATTTAAATTATACTGATTTATACATATATAGATTATAAAGAGAAATCAATAAAAATATAAATCTATAATATGTTAAAATATGATAATTATTATATAATATTAAAAAGATTTGTGTAAAATTTATATATTACTAATTAAATTAATATAACAAGAAATAAAAATAAAGTATCAATAAGATTTAAAATATAAATTAATATAGAATTATTATGAATTAATTGATTAAATAAATAATAATAAAATTTAGATTAAAATAATATGATAAAAATGAAAAATGATTGAATAAAAATATAAGTTATTGCTATTGGATAATAGAAGAAAATTATAAAATATAGAAAAGAAAATAGAAAATAATAAAAAGAATATTATTGTACTTTTGATAATAAATGCGTATTAAAAATAATAAATGATAAAATGATAACAATATAAAAATAAAAATAATTTAAATATAAATATTGTCTCTCTTAGATTAATAACACAAAAATCAAAATAATATAATATCTTTTTGATATTTCTCAAATTTCAAAAATAATAATAATAATATAAATAATAAATAAATAAATAAATAATACAAATAATAAATATAAATAATAAATAAAATACAAATAATCATTTTTTATTAAGATAATATAATTAAAAGATCTAAATAGTATAAGTCATAATCAAATTTTATTTAATATTATTAAAGAATATATTAATAATTTGATAATTTAATAATTTAATAATAATTCTAAGCTAAGATATATATTTATTTTTATCTCAAAAAGAACCAATTAAAATTTAAAATACTAAAATATTATTAATATTTCTTTGCTATTACACAATAAATACAAAATAAACTTAATATAATACAAGATAATATCAATATAATACAAAAAAATTAAATATATAAGAAGAATTAATTAAAATATAGAAATAGAACACATGCTAAATCTTAATAAAATGATCTATATTAAGTATATATTATAATATAAATCTAATTTATAATAAAAAACTAATTAAAATATCTTAAATAAAATTAATTAGATTCATAATAATTATTATTCTTTATCAAATACTATTATTATATAAGAAAAATATTATTATTATAGATAAATATTGAGTTTCTTATAGTAATGATACTATACTCATCTAACTGATTTTTTGTCCTAGTATGTCAACAAATAGCTGAATAATATATAATATATTATAATGATAACAGGATCTCCTATTGAAAAGTTTTTGTAAAACTTTGCAATATTATTTCAAGTTATAATTATTATTTGTTGTTATTATTACTTGTTGTTATTGCTTTGCTAACAGTTAATACTAACTGAATCTTTATATACATTCAAGTATTCACATTGGTAGCAGAAAATTATTAATAATAGTTGTGGTAATTAATATATGAATATTATTATTGAAAGAGTAATGATAATTAGTGGTGATAATAGTTCATTTCTCAATTTTTCTTCTACAAAGAGATACCAAAAAATGTCATCATTTTCAGAGTTATTGCCTATGTTAATATTTTTAAAATATGATAAGTGACTGTGTTTATATGAAAGATCAAATTACTAAACTATCAAAACTTATAATTTAAATATTAAATAATAAAATAGCAGAATTAGATATAACTTTAACAAGAAACTTAATAAAATTAAAATAAATAATTATCAAAACTTTTCCAAAATACTGGTAATGATATCATATATGAATATAAATACGATAGTTATCAAAGCTTTTTCAAAGTATCAGTTAATGATAACTATATAAAAATGTAAATACAAATATAAAAATAAAAATAATTTAAATATCTTTATACTGCACATTTTTTTGATAATAACAAGTGAAAACGAAACTCAAAAAGGTTATAAGAGAGAAGAGCCTGCTAATATCTTCCGAGATTGCAGAGATCATTGCGTTAACCAACTTTTGTTTTGCAAGAACGATCATTGAACTAAAAGGGATTTCATTTCTCTCAAAAACGCCAAATATATACAGGCTTCAGCTTTGTCGAATTCTTGGCATTTAGTTGCATATGACAACACTTTCTATGAAAGCAGAAATCATGGCGGACTTGTTTTTATGGAGCAAGTCTATTATATTGACATCATGCGATTTTGCTAATCCTCATATATATATATATATATATTCCAGTAACTTCCATCAAGTGAAAGAAACATATAAAAATAGGTGGAATCTAACCTCTAATAAGGACAACTTTTTTGTTAATTCGCTCATTTTGTGAACGTTACTCTGATGAATTTATCTCTTATCTTTCGTAATTGTTTTTAAGGTATGTGTGTTCGTCATTTCACACCTGTTTATATAATAAAGGCTTTACTTATGAAATTCTACCTTTATATTAAAGAAACGCAAAATGGCTAATATTACTTTCTCGTCCACGGCACGGGCTAGTGTTTCTGATTATTTGATTCCTCTCGTAAATGTTATCGATATCCACGTATACTCTCTTGCTCCTACTGAAGAATGAATAATTAGATTTTTTATTTGTATTCGTACCATGTAACAGCGACATGTATTTCGCAAATTTTATTTTTTTGTATTTGTTGTTACCCTTTGGCAATATTTTTATTTAGTAAAAATAAAGCAACAACACGTAATGCATGATTTTACCTGATAGTATTTCCTTTCATGTCTATTAATAATAAACTGATAAATATCCTATTATAGTTATTTCGTGATCTTCATCAGCAATGGTATATTTATCGAAATAATTTTAATAATTTTTGTAGTCGATGTGAATGATTCCCACCAGTGGGAGTTAACGTTAACACACTTCCATCAATCGTTCTCTCTTCTCTCTTGAAGACAATGAGGTCGTTTCCATTTTTTTTTTACAAATGTAAAATCCATACTTATGTATCTGATGTATATAATCCACATCATGTGAAGAGCTTAGGGGATGAACATATATAAAGTAATATTGAGTTACTATAGAGCTGACCCTCCCTCCAGGTGAGATTTTTAATATTTAATTGGCTAATTATTTTTGGTCACATGTAAATCATGTGGAAGGTAAGGTTTTTGAGACCCACCCTCCCCCCTGATAATTACGTAATATATGTCCATCCCCTTACATAAAGCCACCGATCCTCCCTAAAACAGAGACGAAAAATTTTTACACAAACCCATAATGGCAACTAAGTCAACACCACCTCTACCTATACACACCCCTACAATATATTTCAAAAATGAATTTGTCACTTTGGAACCCGATATCTCGACACCCGGTTAATGGTGATATCTTTGTTTGAATGAGATCACCGGATGTCGAGATATCGGGTTCCAAAGTGATAAATTCATTTTTGAAATTTCCGGTAATATATTGTAGGGGTGTGTACTTCGGCAACTGAAGAAAAACCAGAACCCACGTTAGCTGATGTGGTCAAAAAGTACAAAACGAACGAGCTTATCGAATTTTTGCGAAAGAAAGAAGACTTGGAGCTTGACGACGATGACTTGGAAATTATCCGCAAGCGAAAAATTGCCTGTCGTGATTTTCTCAATATGACCAAAAAAAAAGTTTATGGAATCTGGGTTAGAAAGAGGACCAGCATCAAGACTTGCTGACTTCATCAAGGTCCTCAAGAAACAGAATTAGTATATTATGTATATAAGATTTTTAAAATTTGAAAATATTTTTGTCATACACGACTCTGATAGATTTAAGTTATGTGTTAAAAAGTATGGAATCGATAGCGGTAATCTAAGAAGCATTCCACTATTTAATCCGGGTAAGTTAGTCAATAAATTGTAGGATTGTAGATATTCACTGATGCTTGGCTGGACACTGTCCGATTAGCTTTGTTAACCCTAACTTATATTTTTTTACACAGAAATAGTGAAAATCGAGAACGATGACGAAGATTTCGAGCAATGCATAACTGCGATCAAACGCAGAATGAGGACCATGGGTTCGCCAAGTGATACTAATAATAATAATGAAGCTTTATGTTGTTCATATCGAAGCCATCTTAATTGCGAGTGTATGCATGGTCATAAGAATCACCGGTAAAAGGATCGTGCTAATACTTCAGTTCGAAGTCATAGGTGACGAAGCAACGGGTCAGGTCGATCATGCAATCTAGACTCTTTGCTTGAAGAATTTATGTGAATTACCGAGGACAAACATAATAAAGCGATTGAGGGCATCATACAAAATGTAATGCAACTCGAAAGCGCCTACCACACAAATATGAAAAAGCGGACTGCTGAGGAAGCATTTCAAGATGACTACGACTATCTCTACGGGATCGTCACCACAGGTAAGATATGCTAATGGTGATAAGTTCAAGCACTACTAACTATTGACTTTTCCAATATTAGCCACAGAGTGGCGTTTCATCTTGTATACACCGAAGAAGATTTACTGCACGGAAGCCAAATACCACATCATACTTACCAAAAGCATTTTAAAAGATGACACAAAACTTCGCCAAGAGTTGAAAGAAGTTATGGAAGTAATCGTGGATCTGTTGAATGACCGGGTCAGTGTAGGTGATTCCCCAGCTAGTAAAAAAGGCTAGGACAGAGAAATATATTCCGAAAGAATACAATGTAGAATAGATGTGGATGTGTGACTCCTGGAGTCGAGCCTGGCATAGTATATTCTTGATATAGAATCATTTTGTTAATTTTATTACAAAGTTGCCCGCATGATTTATCATGCGAGTGATTCTATTTTCGGCAAATTAATTACTATGTACTAATTGGTAAATGATTCTGATGACAAAGAATCAATAATTGGTCAATTTAAAAGATCAAATGATCTAATTGGTCATTTCAGAAATCAAGTGATCTCAATCTTCTTTTGTCTAATAAAATTAAAAATGATCTGTAAATTTTCAAAAATTTTTTTTTATCAATTATCACCAGATTCAAAGTTTTGCATACATTTTTGAATTCAAAAATTGGTGTCAGATAATAATTAGGCTAAAGTATTTAGCAACAAATAATATGCAAAAAAATTTCTAAATTAAAATTTAGGATATTTAAAACAATCTAAAACTTGTATAATAATTAAAAATTCAAAATATTTAGAATTTTGAAAAATATATTAGTCTGAATCATTAGTATTAAATTATATCTTTGAAATTATCTGATATATATAATTTATAATAAGATATAAATCTTATTAAATTGAAAAAAACTTATTATTGATAACAAAAATTTTGAAAACAAATAGCAAAATTCAAAAATTCAAAAAATTTAATTATAAATAACTATTATTAATTCAAGAAAAAATCAAGTAATTCAAAAAAAAATAACAATAATTAATTATAAATATTCAATAATTTAATTAATTAACAACTAAACTTGTTATAATTATTATTAATTAAATAATTATAGTATTATTATTATTTTATATAGCTTTAAATATTTATATATAAATATAATATAATTATATTTCTAATATTTTCATATATATCAAAATATTTAAATAAATAACTTAATAGTTGACTAGTTTATAAACAAGTAAAATATTAATAATTCGATTTATTAAAATAAAAAATTATAAATAAAACAATTTTAAGTTAAAATACATACTTCTTTTATAGATAATTGTTGAATATTAAATTATCAATTAAATTATAAAATAAAATAATCATTTGTATAATTATTTATATGATTATTTACACAATTATTTATATATTATAGTATCTTATTTTTCAACCATTTTATTCTCTTTTTTCTTTGTTCAAATATTGTCAAAGCAATATTGTACAATATATAGGGATTCAATTTGAATTATTAATAAATTCTTAACATTCAAAATTTAACATTAATTAATTTTAATGCTAGCCAAAATATAATACATTGTTCTTAATGTTAGCCAAAATCTAATATATTATTATTAATGCTGGCTAAAATTAAGTGGCCAAATTAGATGTAACATAATAAAGTCAATAAAGTTTAAACCCTTATAACTTTTTAAATTGTAGTTCAAGTCTAACTAATTCAAATAATGTTTTAAATTTTTAATTAATAATTTTATTTTTGCTAAATAAAAAAATACAATATTATAATGTCCCGCACTATATAATACTTGACGTTTGATATATGTGGTACAAACCAATAAGGGCGCGCAAATTTTTGATCAGCCCGGCAGAAAACACAAAAATACGGAAATAATGCCTAGATCTAGCTACTAATAAAAAATGTCAGGAGACAATATAACATTGTTCTCCGCTCTAACCCTAACCTCGATTCTAACTTTAAAATAGCCTTTAACGTTAATTTCCGAATTTTGTCGGGATCGGCATAACCTGTCACATTCTAGACCTGCATAACGATAATACTTATTTAAAAGGCAATGCCAATAAAAAGATCATCCAAAGAGATGTTTCTTTGTTTTACACACTTTTTGGCTGATGGCTAGTGCGACACAAATGTTTTGCCACACTATGTATAATGTTTGCATTAGGTCATGCATGAGTGTTGTCAAAACTGTGCCACCAATTTCAAAACAATTATATGATAACTTTGTCATGCATGCACATGTATTCTATTTAAAGAAAGTCATGTATTTAGTATTTCTTTAGCGACGAACATTAGATTTTTTTTAGAAAAATGAAGTCGTTTTTATTGATGCTAACATAATAAGTCTGTTGGAAAGTGTCAATTTTGAAAATGCATTAGATTCAGTGTAAAATGTTGTGATTCTATGCTATGCGGAGAGTGAGAAGTAAAACTATTTATTTTCATGCTTCTTGATGTATTCAGATATCAGAGTCGAGGATATCTGTATGGTCCAAGGAAATGTCTAGAGCTTTGGTTGGTCAATATAATTTTTGTTGTTACAGGAATAAAGTACATACGTATACAGATGTTTAAGAATAATAAACGGAACGAGGGAATCGAATATAAACTTTTTCCGAAGAGGGACATTTTTTATAATAAATGATTAGTCGAATTGTCCGTCTCTGTGGATTTTTGATATATAAAATAGTAACGAAATTAAGCATAAATTTTCATATTAAACGGGTTCATAAAAGAAAGATGGAAATTATATTATATGCGAGTGAATTTCTATAGTCTGACAAAAATGTAAAAATGAAATGAATCGCCTAGCATATGTTTACGAAAACGAAGGAATATTAATGCAATATATTATCGAATCGAAAAGAACAGAACAAACATTATCGTTGTCGTACATCAAAGATGTAACAAAATTAATATGACGTAACTAGGTTGTTTGGGTAGAAGCTATTGATGGCTAAAAAATATCGTTTATTCCATTTATGATTTGTACCACATTAGCATGTGGCTGTTGAAGCTGCTGAGGCTGTTGCGGCTGTTGCGGCTGTTGCGGCAACTGTTGAGGCTGTTGCGGCAGCTGTTGCTGATGGTTGGTGAAAATATCTTTAATCCCATATATAATTTGATCCATATTATTGGCTGTTGAAGTTGTTGATTAATTGAAGTTGCAATTAAAAGAGAAATTTTCGCAACTACTTCTTTATAATGAAGTAAATTCGTGTTATCAAGTTAAAGATATAACTATAAAACAAGCGTGTTTTTGTAATTATTATTATTTTATGAGGTGAGTTGAATTTTTGAGAGGAAAGGTACGCTTTAAATATCTGTCGGAATAGGGTGGAGAATATAATATCATGGTATAATAATCGTGTAATATAATTAAAATTGTACCGTATAATTGGTATAATATAAATCGAGTCTTGTATATAAATAACCAGGAATCATAACAGTATAATAACCAGTTAATATACAGTATAATAACCAATTACTATACTAGACCGTATAATTACTATCCCTCTGGTATTAATCATAGAAAGATACTTAAAATAATAGAGTGATAATTTGGATATTATACGCATTGCAAAATTCGAAATAATACAGCTTTTGCATTGCATCTTCGAAATTAAAAATTCTTGATGTAAAGAATGTTTTTTCAAACATGGTAGTGTCACGCATATATCGCATTTAAATAATAGCGATAGTAATAATAATAATTTATATAGCGATAGTTATTGTACACTACACTGTTATTCGTTTGTTCATTCATTCGTGTTCAAAAGATAAACTGAATTTTTCTAGAGTTACACCACTCACACACCAATCATTTCTCCCAGCAACAAAATAACCAAGCCGTTTTCAAACTTCTATTACTTTTTCACCGTTCGTCAGTCCGCATACACTTAGTAATAGCAATAAATTATTGTCGATTTTGCAGTATAAGTCTTTGGTATTCATAAGCGGGCAAATGTTTACAAATTCGATGAAAAAAATTTCCGCAATCTATAACAACGCGAGGAAAAACTCTCCTCTTCCAATTGTCCGAGTGGGTGAAAAAATCTTATGTTTCACCAACTCACCTAACTCTAACATAGAAAATCATATGTTCTAGTCATGTGATTATCTGCCCCTTACTAATTTATGCATGAACTCTTCATTCTTCGTTTACAATTTACACAACAGCATAAATTCAATTCTCATTCGCGCATCTTGTATAATGTGCAAATTCCCCCACATATATGAAATTGTAGACACCAATTTAAACACATGACAGTCACAATGTTTATAACAGTGACTGTTATTCCTTTTTTGGGGTCTACTAAAGCCGAGCAGACACTTCAAAACAAACGAACAATTGCAAATACTTCAAATAACTCAAAATTTTACTATGACAACTAGCTTTCAACCTTTAAGTGAGAATACTCAGCACGAAATTTTAGACATAGGCTAGTTTTTTAAGAGCTAGCACCTTAACTAGTAAAATTCCTAACAAATTGATAATTAGTAAGGTTACCTGGCTTTAGTGTTCCTTTTTTGGGACGACGAAGAAGATAAATGTATAAATGCATGCATGCATTTAATACTTTATCAAAGAAAAATGATGTCAAAACTACGCCACATTTTCATTGGACACATGTCTAATTTCAAATGGACAGATGGACATATGTCCAAGTACGTGCATCAACAAATTTAGTGGCAGCTCGAAATCCTCAATGAGTAATCGTTGAGGGTCCAGCATTTATTTGTTAGTGAGTCGGTGAGCCGAGATGTATGCCATGTGTTTCCTGGAAATAATCAATTGTAAAAATATACCTACCATTCTCTTTTCGATTGTTTGGTTATATATATATTAATTGGTTATACTCTTTGACCGTGCTATGTATTCATAAAACCAAGAATTTATACCGTATAATTCACACTCATTGTTGAAAAGCTAACTAATTCATAGAAAGACACAATTAAAATTAAAATGACTGTGTGTAATGCATCTTTTTAATTATGCATGGTGAAAGATTCTCTTAATTTACACACGTGTAATTTGTATCTTGAAAGAAGAAACAACTTTATGTGCGCACCACTTGGACCCTGCGTAATTTGCGTTAATAACAATGATGCATATTTGAAAGCATCTTTGAAATCTGTGCCAGGTTATACATTACGATGATCGTCATCCTATACCGAAGTTAGTTGTGACGTGTAACTTACAGTGGAAACGGAACGCCAAAAAAAAAATGACGAGAATATCGACAGGTAAAGGTAAGTCAATTTGGTTCAATGATACTTCGAGTATTGATGAATCAAAAAATTATTTTCACATATCTTCTAACAAAAAATACAATGATCTTTTTATTTTTTTTAGCGTTCCATTTAATATGACCGATTTGGAAGTCAATTTTAAAGACGGTTTTTCTAATTAAGGTAAGTTGGCAGCTTCTAAAAATTTCTTGCATTACATATTACCTAACCTTGTTTAATATTTTATAGACCCACCCCGTGTTTCTATGATCTTTTTAATCATATTTGGCATCGATTCGTACAACTTTGTACAGTAATCGATATCTACGCTCTTCCTGCGATTTGAAATTTTTCCCGCGATTCGCTTTTGGTGGAAAGTGACCCAGGAAGTTGTCTCATGCGTATCGACTTCGTTCCATAGGTTTTCGATTGGGTTTAGGTCGGGGGACTGGGGTAGCCAGTCAAGTAAAGCAATGTCATTATCAGCGAACCATTTCTTTGCTTTTCCGGAGGTGTGTTTTGGGTCATTATCTAAACTCACTATCCTCTCCCAGACCATCCCTAAAAATTATTATTCATGATGTCTATGTAAACATCTGCATTCATTATTACGCCAATTTTTTGCAATTCGCTAACGCCGTCAGCTGTCACGCAACCCCAAACCATAATCGAACCGCCACCAAATTTCACAGTTGGCGTGATATGCTGGTCTTTCAACGGTTCGCCGGGTTTCTTCCAGCAAAATTTTCGGCCGTCTGATCCAAAATTTGGTACTTACTTTCGTCAGAAAAAATTACGCGTCGCCGATCGTCGGCCTTCCAACTTCGGTATTTCTTCGCCCACGCCAATCGGTGTTTTCTATGTGTTTTGAGGTAAGGCTTTTCTAAAGATGGAACAGGAGAAGACGAACGAGAAAGTGCTATTCCACATAGTTCATTCGATCTTCAATTGTTAAGTATACCTATAAAACTAACTGTTTCTTCCTGAAATTTCATAGCAATGGCAGCTTGATGCTTGCATGGTGTCCCGAGCCTCCAATATAACATGAGCAAATTCCAAGAGTTGGATTTACAGTATAGAATATTCCCAATTTTGTTGTATTAGGTACAGAGTGTGTGAGTTCATACTCGTCACGCTTGAGTTTATTTAAATCAAGATTTTCCCATCCAGAACAAAGCAACCAGTTTGTAAACCGCGCCATGTTGTTCACTATAAAACGAAAACTTGCACAGGATTATATGTTTGTGTTCTTCCAAATACAATATCTTTCAAGAGACCAAACCTTTTTTCAACATAATTGTTTGCCACGCATAGGAAAATTTGTTCGAAAAGTGAGTGCCCACGATTCCAAAGCTTATTAATGTGTATACATAGTTTGAATATTTTGTAAAGTATTGTTAACGTAGAGTTAAAAAATTGTTTCTCTGTTGAAGCATATACTATCAATCGCATATATTTCATAATTGAATGGAGATCATCTTTATTAATATGATGACTTGTATCCAACAACCATCGCCAAAATGCTTGCAGAATGTGAAATGTACAAAGAAGAGATTTGCTTTCTTTCCCACAAAGTCGAAGAGCATTTCCTTCAGCACTAGAATCATCAATGATAAATACATTTGCTCCAATCTCTGGTCCTTTTTTATAAAATGCATCTTCAGGTAAAATTGTTTTTAATAGATTAATTGCAAATTCTAAAGAAAAGTCCTATTGGAATTGCGCCAGCAGCACAACTTGTATATAAAAGTGTAATTGATGTGTTTAATGCACCAAAACATGATGAAAATAACATAACTCTCCTGCTTGTTGAACTTGTTGATGTACTCTTTTCAGTAGATTTGTAGCAATACATAAAACAAATGGTTGTCCTGTTTTTTGATCAAAAAACTGCTTTACCTCGATTTAATTTACAGTAGCGACCATAGGTATCCGAACGCCCGGCATTGCCAAAATTAAAACTATAACGATCACCCAATTTTCTGGGCGTAAAATGTAATACGACACCTGATATCCAAGGATCTAATTCTTGATATCTAGTGATCCGATTTGAACAAAAATGATGCTATTCGATTGTCTCGACTAGGCGAATCGAATGATAGTATTTTTGTTCAAATCGGATCACTGGATATCGAAATATTGCGTCTTAAAGTAACCAATTCATTTTTTTTGACATTAACAAAAATGTATCAGCCAAATTAGGACATAATATCACGACCTCCAGTGATAATTTGAGCGAAAATATCACCATTTGATTCGCCTAGATTAAATAAATCGAATGGTATATAGTATCTTTGTTCGAATCGGATCACTGGAGGTCGAGATATTGCGTCCTAAAGTGACCGATTTATTGTATTTGGGCATGAAAGTTTATCGTTATTATTATGAAATAATATACAAGCGATCAGGTATCATGTTACGTTTAACGCCCAGAAAATTTGGGTGATTGTTATCGTTATAGTATAATTTTGGACAATGGCGGTCGGATATTTATGATTATAGCATTCAACTTCCTTTTTAATATGTTGAAACTTCCATTTTGTGCTCCAAGTTGAGTTTTTCGGAATTTAGCATGAAGATTGGAGATACAACCATCATCAGAATGTATAGCTTGATTTTCTAATAGTTTTGCAAGTTCTTCATTTTCTGCCAATAAATGTAATTTTTCTTCATACTCATATTGTGCTGATGCAGAACTATGACCATGTTTAAAAGTTCCAAATATTCTCCTTTGTGTTTGTTGTTTAACAGGATGAAAACCCAATGAAATAGCTGAATTTGGAACATGATTGTGAACAAAGTTGAGTATTATATTAAGTGGATGAATGTTTTAAATGGCGTCACTATACATAAATCAATTATTGCTGACAGATGGTATCACGGCATCGTTCACTTTGAAATCATTTAATAACTATATTTTTTCCTTGCTTCTCTTTGTGACTGTGAATGCAATGATATGTTGTACGAAATATTGCTTTGACCTTTAATTTGGTGTCCTTTGCTAATTGCATTGTTTGTCTTTGCTTTTTCCTGAAATTCTCAAGACATACATCTGCTTCTTTTTTTGAGTTAATATTTACAAAAAAAGAAAGATCTAATTGATTTGTATTTCTTCAACTGTAATAAATGGATCTAATACTTTTGCGTAGATATTTGTCTTTCAATAAATTTTATTATTTCAATAAATTATAATAGAAAAATTTATAATTATACTTTTGAAATACTAATACTGACTATTTACTTTGTAATTTCGGTGATTCTAATTTTGCATTTGCGTCTTATAATGAAAGAGTATTTTTGGCATAAATCTTTAATGGAATTAATAGTTTAGAAATACAAGTCATATATACAATGAACTTTTTCTGTAATTGATTTATTAAAGGCATATACATATTTTCTGATACGTCTAAAACTGATTCTTGAATAACATAAGGTTTTATAAAGCTCATTGCTGTAGTAATACTTGCAAGTTTTCTTTGTAAAAGAAAAACATATAACGTGTTTCAGTTTTAAAATACGGAAAATATAAAAACAATTACGTATATACATATTATATGAAAGTTAAGAAACTTTTAGTGGATGACGATCATCATAATACAGATCGGATTTTCCGGAATGATAGACATCTTCTATTTAGCCGTCATTCAAGTTAATCACACAAATCAAAAGTTACAGGCAGAAAATCCGTTTAGTCCACGCTTACTCTCACATGTTAATTTAATTTGACACATCAGTAAAGAAAATAAAACACAACACATGTATAAGCATATTCATGTATAAGCATGTTCACCAAATACATTGTTTTAAGTACAAGTCATTGACAGAATTATTTCGTGACATCCAATGAAACGTTCTAAACAACAATCGTCGCTAAAGAGATATTAAATACATGACTTTCTTTTAGAGACTAAGAATTTCATTCATCATTTTCTAAATACGTAAAGCATAATGATAAGCGATATTTATATGTGCTACACGAGGGCGCGCGTGTGATATATGTATAGTGTCATGAGGTGGTTAATACTTTTTGTGTAGATGACTATTGTTACTGTGCATGAAGATACAGTTTATTCATGCAAATCTAGAAAGATAAAATTACGAATACATGTATGCATACATTTCATCACCAAATTCAATACGTACACCTAATAAAAAAGCGAGTGAAAACAAATATCACGGTCTCATCTTTCACAACCAAGGAGATCGAAAAAATCCGATTCTTTAGACGACCTTTTTTATTGGCATTGTCTTTTCTAAGAATTTTGGGCGGGATATTTGTATGATCTAAGGAAATGCCTAATGAGATTTGGCACAAAGGAAAAATGTTATTATGAAACACACTTTACTTTAGTGGCTCGTGCGTAATAACCTGACCCAAATTATGAAAAATAGCAATGAAAGCATAAAGGCGGAGTTTAAAAATGCTGTTAGAATGCTGTTAAAATGAAAGGAAAACGGGTTCGTAAAAGAAAGATGGAAATTATATGCGAGTGAATTTACAAAAAAATGGAACGCCTCTACGGGATATGTTTAAGAACAAAAACAGATAATTTAAAAATATATATTGTGGCTGTTGAGGCTGTTACAGCTGAGTTTGATGGCTAGTAGAAATATCATTTACTCCGTATATGATTTGCTCAATATTAGAATGTGGCTGTTGCGGCTGTTGCGGATGTTGAGGCCGCAGCAGCTGTTGTGGCTGTTGCGAATGCTGAGGTTGCAGCTGTTGCGGATGTTGAGGCTGCTGTTGATGACTGGTGAAAATATCATTAATTCCATATATAATTTGCTCCATTAGAATGTGGCTGTTAATTAATTGGAGTTTCAATTATTGAAAAGGATAAATTGTCGCAGTGACCTCTTTTATGATTGCGTTATCAAGCTAAAGATATGATTATAAGATAAGAGTGAGTGTTTTTGTGATTGTAATTAGAGGATAAATTTTTTGAGAGGAAAGACTCTTTAAATATATGTTAGAAAATAGTATAAATATCTAACCATATTCGTCATCTACAGTAACGTTTCAATATTTAAAGCCAATTTAGAAAACAATCGGAAATCTCCAGAATACTGATCATAATATTTAGATGGTAATCAAGTCTCGCACCATATTTTATATTGCTCTTATCAAGTGACCTCAATCACTGTAACAACCCTCTTAGCCAACACTACAACACACGAAGAACAATCACATATTATAAATTATTTGTCGCGGATCATTGTGAAACTGGTAAAATTTATATAATATGTTGATTATAAGATCAGGGTTAGGGTTAGAGATATATGTAAAATTATCTCCCTGACAATTTTTATTAGTGCTCCAAGCTAGATTTAGATATCTGTTTTTCATATTTTTGCATTTTTTATTTCTTTATCTTGCCGGACTGCATCATTATTGGTTGGTTTCACAATGATCCGCGACATTATTTATTATTTATTTATTATTTAATTACACAAATATTTACCATTACTGGCGACGCACACAATATAATAACCAACATCTCTATCTATTATTTTTTCATCCGCGCGTAATACGTCATTTAGTAACAATACATTAGGAAACTTGGCAAATAATACTCCGGCTAGAGTGGATAGATTAGGAATCCACCAGGGCGACCCCCGAAAGTTCGGGCCACGTGATAATTCTTTGATGACGTCAACGATGCGAAAAGGGTT